GCAGGTGAGGGCGAATATCGCTTCGAGTAGGACAGATGTTGTGAAAGGAGTCGAGTAAAATAGGTGAACAGGGTTAAGAGCAGACGGATTGTATGGAGCAAGAGAGAGATGAGATAAGACTAGGGAAGAGGACTGCATAATAATAATAAAGCAGACTCTGATCAACATTCCCTGCACAACGATGAAGGGGGGGAGAACGACAGTTGAAGTGTGAAGGTATCATGTCGCTTATAGGAGCACATCACACAATCTATATAAACACGATTAAAATTTTAATAGTGAAGGCATGATATGATGAAGGGGAGATCCCACAATTGTTTATCACACTTTTGGTCATAGGATCGGTTCCAATAAGTCTTCCTACCTATATGACCATGTTGCGAAAACAAGGTCAAAAAAACCCAATATTATAGAGCTAAAAGATTGCGACAAAACAAAACTCCACACCGTCGTGGTCTTCATGTTTACGAAAAAACTCATAAAAATTTAAAAAAAAGTCTGAGCAGAAAACGGTTACAATAAGGTACAGATTGTGGGCCAATCGTTTAACTATAGTTACTTCGACGAAAATTTCAAATTGAAATTGAAATTGAATTCAACAGAAAGGATTAATAGCATGAACTTTCAAAATCTAGCTAGGCATGATTATACTTTACAAAAGATATGAACTTATGGCGAATTTACCCGCTGTCTCCCTTGTCCTCTCCCTATCGAATGGATGATCCGGTTCTGGCCTCATGGGCTCGTAGGTCCGTTTCTTATCTTTTAGGTTGACCGATTTTACTCGGTTCCAACCTCAGTGTGCTTTTACCCAAGGTGCTATTTTTCGAGACTTCCGTAGCACGAGCAAATTCGTATAATCTGCAGATCGCCTAAGCTATTATTCCCATGCTTACGGATATTAGGCATTACCTTAACGCATCATCCGCTAGATTAAATTCATGTACTCTATGTAAACTGTAGACTTATATCTCTGGTCGTATGCTGTATCTCAAGTGGATTATTTGGCAGTTTGGTCATAATGCCCTATTTCTGTGACCCAATCACTCTGCCTAGTCCCGTAAAACATCAGGCCCACAAAGCTGTAATTGCTTATTCGACCTGACTACATTCACTGAGAACGTCTTTGCTTTATTTCCGAAACTTGCTCATCCTATTCCTCTGGTTTGCAATAGATTCTTGATCCAGGCGTCTCCTTTTTGCTTGTCTTGTCGCATTCTACCTTTTTCCAAATTTGATTAGGCAATAGGCAATGCTAACACGAACTCTATTTATAGATATTAAAAATAACTCCAAACATCTTATGGTTAAAAATTTTTTTGTAAGGAGTGATAGTTGAATTTCCCATAATGAGCTAAGCGGACTTCAAGATTCCAGCAGGTTTTACTTAACTTTGCTTCCTAAAACGTTTTTAATCAAAGTTGGACGGCATTCTCAACCACGCCTACGTTTCAACACTATCTAGGAGGGAATCTAGACCTAGTTGTGAAACGTTTACACTCCGTCGCACATCAATTAGTGACAGTGGGTCACATGGCAGATGTAGTTTTCAAAACAAGCCAGGCATTCAAGACCTCGTCGATGAAGCAAACTCTTATTTGCTAAAACAAACGGCGATGTTAGTTTTAATTGATGTGATAATACTTTGAAGATAGTTTGAAAAAGAATATGACTCATTATATTAATCTTTAAATCCAGTAAGCGACATAGGGTTTCGAATTCTTAGTTAAAAATTGCTGATTGTCTCAAAAAACACTCATGCCGAATAACATTTTAAGCGTTGATCCCATCATGTATATGTAGGCATTTAGGGGCTTCTGCTAATTCAGTAATGGCTCAGACTATTCTGAATACGTGTATTCTCTAAATAATCCACATCGATAAATCGTGCGAATGTTTATGTCAAGTTGAGATCTTCATTCGGTGAGGAAAAGATCTAAATAATATGCATAGATGAGATCTTGAGTGTATGCAATATACTGTTTCCAACATGCTATTATTAATCATGTCGAGGGATCCTTCAAATCGGCCTTGATGTGTAAATATAAAAAATTAAATTGCATTCTTGCTGTCCGAACCATTTAGAATGGTGAAAACGTTAACTGAGTAGTTAATATCAGATAAGTATAATTAGACCTGTATATGCATTGTTTTAAAGTGTTGAGATATTTTTGTTGGATTAGGGATGAGGATGCTTTAAGGCAAGGATGGATAAAAAGACAAATAGATGCAAAAGATTATGTAGACCTGTTCCAACTGTTCAACACGTTTGATGAAAGCTGCATTCTCCGCCTCCAATTGTGCACAACGCTGACGTAACTCAGTTGCTTCCTCAGCACGACGCCGCCACTGCTCTGTTGCTGCAGCAGAACGAGTGGCTGTTAGCGCCTCTTCCTTGGCAATGTCTAGTTCGTCCTTCAAAATGGTCGCTTCTCCAGCTAGTCTGGTCGTCTGCTCTAACTAAAAGTAGTCACGCAGGAGATAGCATAACAATGAACTAATAAATAGCATTTAGGGAACGGAATATATTATCCATCTCCTTAGATGAATAAGACACCGATCTATAATGATTGAAGATGCATGAATAAATGAAGTAAGATTATTTATAATCCGTAGGTTCTAAAATTTTAAGAATTTCCTCCTTCAAAACAAGATAGGGGCCTCGGCGATGAAGCAAATTCTTATCTTCCAAAAGAACTGGCGATTTTAGTTATATTTGGCGTAATACGGCATCAAGACTACTTTGAATAAGAACTTGAATCACTCTATTAGTCTTTAACTCCTTTAAGTGACCTAGAGTGTATCGAGTTCTTGTTTAAGAATAAGTGAGTGTTTCGAAAGGCTCATAATCACAACGAGTGTCTGAAATTACGTTATTATAATAAATTGTATTCCTGAACAAAAATTCTATTAGACTTAATAATAGATGTTGTTTGTTTATAACTACTTCAAAAGAGTGCATCTCGATTTCACATGCACATAAGAAATATAACAAATTTAAATATTTACATGGAGAAATGTTGAAATAAATCAAACAAATCATGGTATACCATCATAAATAAATGCTTTGTATATATATCCAACAAATATTTAAGTAAATATTAGATTTTTTAGCAAGTTGTAGCTGTTATAAGTAAAATTTCCAGCTATGATGATTTCTGTCATATAAGAGACAAAGCATAAGAGTTTCAGCATAAAGAAATAAGAGAAATTACGTAATCAAAAATTAAATAATAGTGATATATAAATTTAGATACAATGGATTCTCACTTTTGTTTTAAGATCTGCATTTTTGATAAGCAAATCATCTAATTTTCCTTTCAATTCATCTCGATCTTAAAATAAAATTTTTTTAAAAAGATCAAATCAATGCTGGAGTGAGATAAAAATATAGTATTCTAATTAACTGATTTTGCAAGTTTTTAATGAGTTAAAATAGTTCATAAATAAATCAGGTAAGAATGTGAGTTAGTACAATGTAAAACATATAAATTATCTAGAAAGAGTATTAATATATACGTAACAAGTAGATAATTTTGCAGTTTGAAATCTCTATTTCAGTCCGTAATTTATGGAATACTTATGGTTTGTTTGGCCAATGTGCTTCCATGCCATTCGTCTTATAAAGGTTGCATTAACAAGACGACTCGTTAAGCAATATTCAATTTGTGCACATTCAATTCCATTAAAATGTTCACAGATAACATTATAAAGTGCAATGAGGGTCTTGACTTCACTCTAATAGTCAAAATAAAATAAATATAAGGAAAAATAATTAAATCGAAGGTATGAAGACCAAGATGATGTGGCCTTTTTGTTTTTGTAGTATCCTTTCGTTGGATAGAAGTTGTTTGATCTTGTTTTCGCAACTTCGTATGAATGATAATTTCTATAGTCGAACGGTGGACGTAGTACATTCCCATACATTTCGCCAGCATTGTCAGCGAGTCTTGCCAGACTTAGGACCCCACTACAACTAGTCAAAGAGGCGTGATATGAGGATATAGGATTGGTTATTAGCATAGAGGGGAAGGATAGATACCATGATTGTTCAAAAGACAATTGATTAAACGATCAGCTTCACTTGTCTCTGACGACGTGTAGAATGGCAAGGCACACTGACGATGCCGGCGTAACGTCTTGCAATGTACCATATCCACGGTCCGACTCTAAAAATTATCTTGCAGGCAATGGATTCCTGACTAGGTCTGCTCCTCTAAATCTTTCTACCAATATAGCCAAGTTGCGAAAACAAGGTCAAACAACTTTAGTTCATATTTTACCATAAATGGTAAATTGTTTGATTAAACAAGAGGTTTAGACAAGGAATCATGCTTGTTTCCGGTTTGAACCAATAACTGCATGGCTTACTTATAGGCACGGCTCTGTCTGGAAGCAAAGCAGGAAACGCTGGAGGATGTCTCGTCGACTGCATCGACCGGAATGTAGTATAAAAGCTCAATGATTGCAGTAGATCTGAAAACAGCCGTCGTCTTCTGGTGAGATCAACATACAGATCTCCTCAGCATACATTTTCTTAAGTAATTAAGGTCTCCACAACAATGGTATAGCAGTAAATTCACCAAAACCCGCTTCATATTCGTATAAACTAAGTGAACAGTCTAGTAGTATGATACTTAGTTGGTCCGGAGGTATAAATAGTGTATCATCCCTTATAGCTAATATATACTGGGAGTATAGAAAACCTACTAAGATAAGGAAAGCTAAGTAATGTAGTCGAATGCTATAGCAAATATAAGTTGACTTTATCGAATATCCCATCAAAGAATGTGATATGGGAAAATGCTTGGCCTTTCTTGAAACTTACACTGCCCTGTAACCCAAGGGCACTCGTGGCATTATGCTGTAGGGGTTAAGGTGTCGAGATTATACGTTGCGCTGCCATGGCTAGAGTCGCGCTGGGGGTGTTAATAGGACCATGGATAAGAATGCCTTTTAGGTAGCAATGATATGTAAAATTTAATAGAAACGCAAGGTCTACTCATATCATTGTGGGAAATTCAACTACCCGTCCTTGATAACATTAAACGGAATAGGGTAAAACCATAACAGATATCAGATTTACTGGAAGTCTCCAAAACCAACTTCGAATACAAAAAATAAGTATAAGTAATGTTATTCTAAAAAAGCTACATAGTCCAATATCCCAACAATTTCAATCTGCCAACTCTATGAAACTTTTATAAAGATAATAAAATTTTTATCGAGATATGAATAAAATATGAGTTCATCCTCAAATAAGCAAAAAAGATTATCAAGTGATCACTTGTCTGTACGATGATTACTCACAACAAATACATTCAGAAAATCACATAGATAGCCAATTAATTATATATTTTTTCTAAGAAAATAGAGGGACGATAGAGAACAATGCTTATGTTCTGAAGGCAGATAGAAGAAATGACTGGTCTGTTAAGACGTATTTTGAATTAAAGTGCAAGGACAAAGAGTTTCTATGGGAATATAGAAGATTTGTAATTATGAAGAAAGGTTACTAAATTTAAAAGAAAAAAAATAATCAGATGAAAGATATAAAATGAAGATTTTATTATAAGTAAACCGAGTAAGAAGTAGTTTGACACTATTTTCGCAACTTGAGACTGTAATAAGAGAGCATGATCGAAGAAATTAAGACCAAGATGATGTGGACATATCTTTGGTCTCAGTCTCCTTTAGCATTGCAGTGTTGGTTCGATCTCGTTTTTGAAAATTTGTCTGAGACAATGTCAAGATGCCTCGTTCTAAGAGCCCTGCAAGGGTATTCGTGATTTGCAGGATCGAAAAATTGACCTCTCCCTGTCATCCTTAGAGGTGCCATCATCAGCAGAGTTATAACTTATCAAAGTGGCAGGTGAAGGCAATGCTCTTGACGAATTTCCTATTCAACCGTTGTGGCAAAACTGGTAGCCATTATTTTTGTTCCACCTTCTAGTGCTTCATCTTTTCATCACAACCCCATTTAATATTGCTAATCTACCTGTTCACAAAATTCGTTCCATCTTTTACTTCAATTTTGACAAAAAGTGTGCCGATAAAAGTGGGTTTAGTGAAGGGTAATCATCTTCAGCACTGGTACCAGGTACCGTTTGCAAGACGCCTTCATGCAAGCCCTCCTGCGTCTTCCTCACTTCCATCTAATGCTAGAGTAAAAGCATGTTCATGTGTGTGTGTGTTAGGCCAATATAATATGTGGTATAGCACGCCACCAGTCATTACTTATTAAGACAAATACACATACAGACACAAAAATGCACCCAAGTGTAAGCACGAACGGACACGCATACTCATCTAGCCAACCTCTATCTTAGGCCTTTAATTTAATCTATCACATTCCGATTCCACGTCTGATTTAACTCACTGCAATCGTATTTTCATAACTTCCCTTTGTTCCTCATGAACCGCTCCTCATCGACGTCACTTCCTGTTGTTAAACAGTTATCTTGGGTCTAAGCCTGCTCAGGGCAGTACTTGAAATTATCGCTGACTCTTTCTCCTTCCAATCTTCTGCTTATCAGGTTTCTTTGAAATAGGATGTAAAAGTCTCCCTAATCTTCCTTTTTCTGATGTTCTCCCAATATGAAGAAAGTGTTTCCGTTGCACTCCAATCAATAGAATTGCCGGTAGGGGCTATGTGTTCAACTATCTCCGATTTTTTCGTATCCATTTTTCTGCAGTGAGTGGTGGTATTTGATCATTTTGATCATCGTCTTCAATGTATCTTCAATGTATTTTTGTTTACCGTCCTTGCTGTAAACTCCGGAGCACTCCGTTTTGTTGACTTCCTCATGTTGTGTGGGCAAGCTGATAAAGAGGGTTGTCCTTTCATTCAGGATTGTACGAATATTCCATTTGCATACTCTTGGCAGTAGCTTCCGAGCCAATTCACAAGAGGGTAGACATGTCCATAAATTTTCCTCTGCTCCTCTTGCTTTCCTTCTATAATCTCCGTTCTTCCATCTGTTCGTAACCATCCGTAGGTTGCGTTGTATTGCTTCTTTTGGATATCCGTTTCCAAGCAGCATCTAAATTAGTTTTCCCAGTTCCTCCTCGTAGAACTCAGAATCAGCTTACAACTGTAAGATTCTGATGATCATACTCCAGGAGTATTCCAACCTGCACCTCATAAATATGGTTCGAGTGGAAGTTAAGAGTTATTGCAATATGAGATTTCTTTCGGAAAAGTTTTTTTTGAGAGTTTCCTCGGAGCGAATGACCTCCATATACAAAAGAGAACATTCTTCGTTCTTTTCCAAATCAGTAGTAAATTTGACTTTATCATCTTTTTCGGTTATGAAGAACAGGAAATTGACTAATTTTTTTCTTCCATTCGACCGAATAGCGAAATAGTCAACCAAATATCGCATAATTACTGTTGGCTGCTGTGGTGACAGTTTGGAAGGAAAGTAACTTTTGGTGAGCCTTAACACAAATATGACAAAGTAAAAAGCAAAAATCGCACGACTGGAGGTCTTTGAAAAAGAAACTAACATCTTGGAAACAAAGCGAATGCGAAATCCCTAACCCGATTATTCAAACTAACAATAAGAACGATCAATTTCAAGACCAACGGCTTCATCAGGGAACAAATATTTGTTTTACCTATGGGCGCACCAATCTCACCTTGTTAGCTTATATCTTAATGGACAGGTTGGACAATTTCAAAAGTTTACCCTAGCAATCAACAGTAATTATGCGATATTTGGATGACCATTGCGCAATTTGGTAGCATGGGCAGTATATAGGTCAGAAGCCCTCGAAACTGCCCTTCCATAAACCCACTAATAGACACACCCTTAGGCGACGTTGGAGGAAATGAGAGCACTTAATTGTGTGAATAAGTATATAGGCCATATGAAGTGGGGTTAAGAGAAAGAGATGCGACACTACAAGGTAAAACAAAAAATAGGAGAGATAATGCTACAACGATTGAATAGAAAATTGGTCAAGGGGGTGCCTTCACTTGTGCCTCCCACTTACTATGCCGACT